AACTGTAAAGCACTTTGGATAAAAGAGAATACTGCATCAATACAGTCCATATAATTCAGACACAGAGCTGTTTGTCCAGCAGTGATTGATTAATGAATCATTAGTTGCAACCAAAACATACTGATCCAATCCGTTAAGGAGTCCTCAACACTTTTATTAAAACAAACTATTTTACTGAAAAATAATGTTTCACTTGTTTACAAAACAAATCAGCAAATCTGTTTTGTTTCAATATATTGAAATATTTTTGGGAAAATGAAAATGTAAAAGGTTGCAGAGATGAAAGTGAAGTAAAGTTTAAAATGAGTTTGTCAGATTTGGGATTTCTAAGTAAAAATGAATCCATCTCAGTGGAAATTTAATATGGGAGGAAAACTTCTACTGAGTCTACCAGTAGACTGTGTACCTGTCCCAGTGTTAGCTCCACCCCTCCCAAGTAGTCATCATCGCCGAGGTCGGCACTGGAGTTGTCGATATCGTAGACCCCCAGCTTCAGATTCTGAACCGTCTCAAAGTGATAATCCAGTCTGAGACGCTGACTGAACGACGGACTGGAGGAGTTCTTCAAACGTTCAGTACGACCCAGCTGACAGAGAGACAGACAGACAGACAGAGAGAGTAGGGGGGGGTTGTTTAATTCATCTCACATAAAATTAAAAGTAAAATAACGACCCATGTATCCTGTAGTGAGTTACCTCGGTCCACTTATCTCCTCCTGAGCTCTGAAGCAGCACGCACAGAGGATCAGACTTTGAGCCGACATCTTTATCCAGCAGGTCAGAACAGGAGACGCTCAGCTCCACTTTAGAGACACAGTCCGCCATCTGATGGGGGACAGAGAAAGAGATCAGGATTCAGTTCAGAATATACACAGAATAACTTCAGTATCAGAACAGATCGTACAGTTCGACACATTTAAAGCCTTCGGATGTCTGAAACTGAACAAAAACGTGTTGAAGCCTCGTTCACATTACACTCTCAGAGTCGTCAGATCTCTGTACAGTTCACACAGTGAATACAGAAACAGAGACGCAGTCACTGCTTCTGTTTTACCTGCTCTGAAACTGTAATAAACTGTCACAGTATACTGGATGCACTTCTGTTTTATGCTGATAGTAAATGATGCAATATGTGCACTTAAGAACTGAAACTATAAGTCGATCCATTTACTAGTGGATTGATCTCATGTGATTGTTCCGTCAAAACAAGCGACAGGAAGAAGCCCGCTTGGACTTTAAGGAATTGTGATCAACCTTTTTTACATTTT